GCCTGTACTTTGACAAGGACAGTTGCATCTACATTGATCGCCTTCATTATCCTCATCCAACCATCAAAGGATTTTGGAGCATCGATGGATTAGAAGAGATTTGGTAACAAATATCCCAAAAATTACAGCTTAGAATGCTCAGACAAACGAGAATAATACATAGCACACTGACTTTAAAGTTAACTGATTGATGCTAAAATACTGAACGAATCAAGTGGTCAATTTGTGCTTGCCGAAAGAAGCTCTATATTCTGGAAAGGATCAACTCTTGAGCCGGAACCCCTACCAGCCGCACAAAATTGTACGGTTACAAAATTACCTAATCATCACTAGCCCATTGGAAAAAATATCAAATCATCTACTCGAAGCGTGTGAGACCTTGAAACCACTCCACTTAACCGTACGGACACGTTAGTATTGCACGGTATATAAAAGGGGAAGACTTCCAACAGTGACACGTAATTTACGAGGGCTAGAAAAGATGAATCATTTCAAACAACCACGCTAAGAAGGGAATCGAATATAGTAATCAACTCGAATGCTGTGTTGTGCCTTACGATTACAAGGATGCCGTATCATCAATGAAGCACCGTACCATGCCGCTTATTGACTACTATCATCACTATGGAAAGCGATGCCGTGAATGCAAAACCAAATGGTTGCGAAAGCGATACCAGTCATTACCGTACAACTTATGAAAGAGTTGTAGCACAGTCTGTTACTGGTTTTGTAGTCACCATGATCCAGCGTATACCACACTATGGATCTCTTTTATGCCTATGCAAATCACAGCGGATTCACTTGTCAAAGCACGTGTTGCCTGTGGCTTTTCCTGGCTACCATGACTTTGAAAGTTGATTTCAAACATTCAAGGGAAAGTGTCCTTAATATATGGGTGGACCTACCTCCAAACAATTATTGAGAGCAAAGATATCATGATATTTTATATTTATATCTATGAACAACTCCTGCAAAGACACCGTGACCACTGTACCTTTAAAAGTGCACGTGAGATACATTCTGCTAAAAGTGTTGAGCTTTCATGTCGATACCTCTTTAATTCTGTCTGAAGAAAAGATTCGTGACGTTTTATCAACTTTCAATGCTTACGAAGATGTGTGCGCAGTTTGTTGGTTACAAGAGCATTGGAAAGACGTGCGTGACTGGAAAATGTTTGGCTTTAATGTTTGAACAAAAGACGTGGTAGATTTGTGTAATTGACATAAGAAATAGAATTGACTCAAAAACCGAAAGTGGTGGAACATAACATTCGCAACCGTTTTTGCAACAGTGTCAAAAGAACCCGACACAGAAACACACAACAAATTCTTGACAGCAATACCACCGTTGACATCGACACGAATGAAAGACCATTCAAGGAGGAAACATTAGTGACTGTGCATGGTCTATAGACACAAAGAATATTGCATCGTGTCCCTAGAATTCTATGGCACCACACATCATCGACGATGTACAGAGACTTATTTAAATTCCACATTCATCATTTTGAGTTGCAGTTTAGGTTTGTACTGAACTATTTGACTCTTATGTGCTCTTGGATTTCATGTCAAATAACGACTTGGAACACTCGACTTGGGATATTCGTTACCAAATCTCTTCTGGTCCATCGATGCTCCTAAATCCTTTGATGGTTGGATGAGGATAATGTCCTGAAGAGTATAAAATCTCTTGTCCTGACTATGTAATTCTCAAACGTCTAAAAACTTTCTTGATAGCTATATATTCCTTCTATACCTATTCCTTTGCTCTCAAAGTCATTGACGAAAAATATTAGATCACTTAAGTTGGGAGGCTGTGTATCTTCGTCATCACTTTAATATGTTGATTGCTGAACTGAGTGATTCAGGCAAAAAAATTTATCCAACGTTTGCTTGAGCACAAGACCCATTTGATCGATCTAGCTCCCATACCAACACATAGTGTGATATTTTCTTACAGACTCCTTCCGGAAATTCAAGGAGAATTTATCGTCATTGTGGAAAGCATTTCTCAAGAAGACGACGGCTCGCGTCCGACACGAGTCAAATACATTTGGTCATCTTTGACGAAGAGTTATGAAAAGACGAGGAAGAAATTAATCTTTAGTTTACACGCAAAGTATGTCAGCATTATTTATATTATACAAAAGTTATTTAATCGTACCGTCAGTCTCAATGCTCATTATGTGGTTTTGTTTAAAAGCCCTTGAACTAAATCTCTCAAGTACAAGTGCTAGCAAAACAGTTAGGAATTCCTTGGCTGACTTATGCGTACGTCGATGCCACTGAAACACCTCACACCAATTTACTAACATCACGCCAATTTAATAATCAAATAAAAACCACACTACACCTGATTATTTACGATTTCATACCATTATGTTTCAAGGCATGTGCCAAGGAGGACCGGTCATTTATACCCCATTTGCCGTATTTAAAAAAAAAAAAACACTATTAAACCTCCTTTTCAAAATCTTCAACATGATTTCCTTTCAATATCATCTTCCAGTCAAATTATTCTCGCCCTTTTCATAATCAGTCACGAAAAATTCCACAAGTGCGTGTTAAAGTATTA